CCAAGTCAGCGAGCCTGACCACCCGATCCCGTTAGTCGCCTCTTACCACAAGCATTGGTTACTGAAGATCAATATGGAAAGGAGACACCAAAAAAGGGCTTCACATATTGTACCCATGTGATGAATTGAACCCAAGTGAGTTAATATTAATCGTCACTTCGGCAATAGTTCAGCCATGTTGTGACAATGTATTAAGCCAATAATATTCTAGCACTACCATGGCAGCTACAAGAGAGAGATGTATTTGTAAATTGATGAAATGAATATGGGAGAATGACAGATGAAAGAAAGAACAAATAAACTTGGCAGAATAAGATAGAAGAAAGAAAGATGAACGAAAGAATGAACAAACAGACTTGGAGAAATGATAGATGGAAGAAAAAATGACTAAAGAAACTTGGTGGAATGAGAGATGGAAGATTGATGGAAGAAAGAATGACTAAACATACTTGATGGAATGAGAGATGGAAGAAATGACATGAAAGAAAGAATGAGTGAACAGACTTGGTTGAATGATAGATGAAAGAAATAATGAATAGCTAAACTTGAAGATAGATGAAAGCTAGAGAAAATGAATGAAACTACTTGTGGAATGATAGATGAAGGATGAAAAAATATACCCAGTGGAACGACAGATGAAAGACAGATTGAAAAAATGCAATGAAGGAATAGATAAAGACTTATCTCCAGGAAAGATTGCTAGATGAAAGATTGAATAAACTTGCATCAAGGGTTGACGGATGAAGCCTAGATTGAATACATCGAATTACACATGATTGATAGACGGATAAATATTGAATAAATTAATAAGGATAAATCACTGATGAAACAAACGATTACAAGGAATGACACATGAATGAATCTATCAATGCACACAGACAAAGTTTAGATAAGCCCGGAAAAGGAGTGAGTGAGTGAATTGTGCCCAAGTGGGGAATCGAACCTGAGTCTTCGGCGTGACAAGCTAACGCTTTAACCACAAGGCTACCCCACCACCCACCCATGGATAAAGGACAACCATTTCATATAATGAATGTCTAAAAAAGATTAAATTAGTTATACAATGAGTGAGTGAGTGAACTACATCTCAGCCACATTGTGAAAATATAGTTTTGTTCATAAGTATCTGTCACAAAGGACAGTCACACAACACAAAAAGACTAAAATCAACCATTTCAGTATGAGTCAACAAATTTCCATAATTAATACATGTACATTTAATACTATTAGTAAACAGGCGGGAGACTATTTGGGCAAGGGCAAGAAGAATGAATGAATGAATGAATGGATAGATGAATGAATGAATGGATAGATGAATGAATGAATGGATAGATGAATGAATGAATGAATGGATGAATGAATGGATAGATGAATTGATGAATGGATAGATGAATGGATAGATGAATTGATAGATGAATGAATGAATGAAATGGATAGATGAATGAATGAATGAATGGATAGATGAATGAATGGATAGATGAATGGATAGATGAATGAATGAATGGATAGATGAATGAAGATGAATGAATGGATAGATGAATGGATAGATGAATGAATGAATGGATAGATGAATTGATGAATGGATAGATGAATGAATGAATGGATATATGAATGAATGAATGAATGGATAGATGAATGAATGAATGGATAGATGAATTGATAAATGAATGAAATGAATGAATAGATGAATTGATGAATGAATGAATGAAAATAGCAGAAACACACGAACCATGAGAAGTGAGTGAGTGAGTTTTATGCTGCTTAAGCAATATCGACACCCTGGAGAGCACATTGAGTAGAAGGATAAGTGTACCTATTGATAAATGGAAAAATAACTAAACCCTAACGGTCTGTGAAATATCAAACAATATAAATACTATTCCATATTTCAACAGAGCAATATTACCAGAATTAGTGAGAATATTTGACTCATAAAATAGTAAGAAGAAAAATACTCGTATTCACTGCACATATATTTTGTCATGCTGATTTTAACCCAGATCCACAGCCATAAAATTCCAAACTGATAAGTTCATACTGATGACCTTTGACCCCTGAATGACTAATAATATTGCTAAAATAACCAGTGTTTCTACCCAAGACACTATAAATAACCCCCTACGACAATTTAATCTTACTTGATGTTTTTACTCTGCCTGCAATAAAACAAGCTCTTGTGTTGCTAATAACTCTTCAACATGCAGAAACATGCAGACATGTTATGTTATCTCTGAACCTTGACCTTTGACCAGGAAACAGAAACATGTGTGGGGTCAAAGGTCAAGGCCATTTTGAGAGTTTTAAAAAAAAAATGCACATTCAAATCTTTGCCATTGAAATTTTACACCTCTGACGTTGAAAAGGTCAAAGATATTCAAATCTCAGGGCAAAAATTTGAATGTTTGAAAAGGATTGTCATTTTTTGCGGATTAAATCAGTAGAATAAATTGCTTTGTGACAGTCTTCCCTGACTTTGAGGAGGGAGAAAACACATTCCGGTTGAAAAATGAACAAAAGAATTATACGGTTTATCTTTAGAGATAGCATTCATTATGATTATTTATGCCAGTTAGAATTGAACAGCCATCTTGCTCCAACCGATGCTCCGAGATTTGGCATACAGAGACACAGACAACCTATATTTACTGATCTACAGAGATCCTGGGGGAGAAGGTTATGAGTGAGTGAGTGAGTGAGTTTAGGTGTATGCCACACTCAGCAATATTCCAGCTATATGGCGGCGGTCTGTAAATAATCCAGTCTGGACGAGACAATGTAGTGATCAACGGCATGAACATCGATCTGTGCAATTGGGAACTGATGACATGTGTCAACCAAGCCAGTGAGCCTGACCTACCGATCCCGTTAGTTGCCTCTTACAACAAGCATGGGTTACTGAAGATCAATTCTAACCCGGATTTTCACGGGTCGAGAAGGGTATGCAGTGACATAAACTTACTGTAGCCTGATCGAGATGCCTACCAGAGCAAAAAGACACAAAACTATCCTTGTCAAACTGAAAGACATCATACACAATATCTACACAATGCCATCTATTGATCTTTAGAATCTGTTTTGTGTTCAAATTGTTCTGTGAATCTATTGATGTAATTCATTATCTTTATATTAGTTTTAAATAATGTCAAAAGTTACCTTAACGTACAGTTATCAGTGATTCATTCACCAAACACCATTTTAACTTACACACTCAGCTTTGTGGACCAGACCAACGTGTTACCACAGTTATACAACCATTTTAACTTACACACTCAGCTTTGTGGACCAGACCAACGTGTTACCACAGTTATACAACCATTTCAACTTACACACTCAGCTTTGTGGACCAGACCAACGTGTTACCACAGTTATACAACCATTTTAACTTACACACTCAGCTTTGTGGACCAGACCAACGTGTTACCACAGTTATACAACCATTTTAACTTACACACTCAGCTTTGTGGACCAGACCAACGTGTTACCACAGTTATACAACCATTGTAACTTACACACTCAGCTTTGTGGACCAGACCAACGTGTTACCACAGTTATACAACCATTTTAACTTACACACTCAGCTTTGTGGACCAGACCAACGTGTTACCACAGTTATACAACCATTGTAACTTACACACTCAGCCTTGTGGACCAGACCAACGTGTTACCACAGTGCTACAGCCATTGTAACTTACATACTCAGCTTTGTGGACCAGACCAACATGTTACCACAGTGCTACAACCATTGTAACTTACACACTCAGCTTTGTGGACCAGACCAACGTGTTACCAGTGCTACAACCATTGTAACTTACATACTCAGCCTTGTGGACCAGACCAACATGTTACCACAGTGCTACAGCCATTGTAACTTACACACTCAGCTTTGTGGACCAGACCAACATGTTACCACAGTGCTACAGCCATTGTAACTTACACACTCAGCTTTGTGGACCAGACCAACATGTTACCACAGTGCTACAAGCAATGTAACTTACATACTCAGCTTTGTGGACCAGACCAACATCTTACCAGTGCTACAACCATTGTAACTTACACACTCAGCTTTGTGGACCAGACCAACGTGTTACCACAGTGCTACAACCATTGTAACTTACATACTCAGCTTTGTGGACCAGACCAACGTGTTACCACAGTGCTACAACCATTTTAACTTACATACTCAGCTTTGTGGACCAGACCAGACCAGCGTGTTACCACAGTGCTACAACCATTTGTAACTTACACACTCAGCTTTGTGGACCAGACCAGCGTGTTACCACAGTGATACAACCATTGTAACTTACATACTCAGCTCCAGCCTTGTGGACCAGACCAACCTGTTACCAGTGCTACAACCATTGTAACTTACATACTCAGCTTTGTGGACCAGACCAACGTGTTACCACAGTTATACAACCATTGTAACTTACATACTCAGCTTTGTGGACCAGACCAACGTGTTACCACAGTGCTACAACCATTTTAACTCACACACTCAGCTTTGTGGACCAGACCAACGTGTTACCACAGTGCTACAACCATTGTAACTTACATACTCAGCTTTGTGGACCAGACCAACGTGTTACCAGTGCTACAACCATTGTAACTTACATACTCAGCTTTGTGGACCAGACCAACGTGTTACCAGTGCTACAACCATTGTAACTTACACACTCAGCTTTGTGGACCAGACCAACCTGTTACCAGTGCTACAACCATTGTAACTTACATACTCAGCTTTGTGGACCAGACCAACGTGTTACCACAGTGCTACAACCATTGTAACTTACATACTCAGCTTTGTGGACCAGACCAACGTGTTACCACAGTGATACAACCATTGTAACTTACATACTCAGCTTTGTGGACCAGACCAACGTGTTACCACAGTGCTACAACCATTGTAACTTACATACTCAGCTTTGTGGACCAGACCAACGTGTTACCAGTGCTACAACCATTGTAACTTACACACTCAGCTTTGTGGACCAGACCAACGTGTTACCAGTGCTACAACCATTGTAACTTACATACTCAGCTTTGTGGACCAGACCAACGTGTTACCAGTGCTACAACCATTGTAACTTACACACTCAGCCTTGTGGACCAGACCAATATGCCACAACCAAGATTACTCACAAACACTTTTGGGCACATTCCCCTCAGTTTCAACCAGTGCTCTCAATTTCAAACAATTTTCGTTAGAACCCTATTTTCACATTAGTGGTATTCAAATAGTCAACCTGTACAGTCAAATGTAAATTGTTAAACGTCTCCAATATTCCACAATGATTCTGCAGCATTTGTACCACTGAAGCTAGCATAGGTGTCACTAAAGAATTAAAGATAATGATAGGTGTCACTAAAGAATTAAAAGAATCGTGGTGTTATGATAACATAGGTGTCACTAAAGAATTAAAAGAATCGTGGTGTTATGATAACATAGGTGTCACTAAAGAATTAAAAGAATCGTGGTGTTATGGTGTTATAAAGATAAAAGAGGTGTCACTAAAGAATTAAAAGAATCGTGGTGTTATGATAACATAGGTGTCACTAAAGAATTAAAAGAATCGTGGTGTTATGATAACATAGGTGTCACTAAAGAATTAAAAGAATCGTGGTGTTATGATAGCATAGGTGTCACTAAAGAATTAAAAGAATCGTGGTGTTACGATAACATAGGTGTCACTAAAGAATTAAAAGAATCGTGGTGTTATGATAACATAGGTGTCACTAAAGAATTAAAAGAATCGTGGTGTTATGATAACATAGGTGTCACTAAAGAATTAAAAGAATCGTGGTGTCACTAAAGAATTAAAAGGGTGTTATGATAAAATAGGTGTCACTAAAGAATTAAAAGAATCGTGGTGTCACTAAAGAATTAAAAGAATAGTGGTGTTATGATAGCATAGGTGTCACTAAAGAATTAAAAGAATTGTGGTGTTATGATAGCATAGGTGTCACTAAAGAATTAAAAGAATCGTGGTGTTATGACCACTTTGAGTACTGCCTGGTTCTTCTTATCAAAATTGCTTATTCAGCATAAATTATTATTATTCACTCTTTCACTCAAACTTGAAACCTAGACCCATGTAGAAGAAATAGAAGTCATACATACTTTGGGGGATTGTTAGAAGTGATACGCATTTTGGGGGTTGTTTCTCTAAAGGCAGAGGTACAGATAAGCTGCGTATCTGCGTAAATTACGCAAATGTTTACGTGAAAACTCAATTGCCGTTAAGTCGAATGCGTACAAGTACGCTTGTATTTTGGTAAATACTCAATAAATGTGATCTTACATTGCATACACACGAAAATGTCAAAACGTAGCTAGCGTACCAGTGAACAGATAAAATAACGGAGGTATACTGAGAGGTTCTATTTCAGGAACATGAACTTGGCAACATGCAGTCTTTCTTATTGTTTCTCATATTACATATCAAATATTAATAACAAACTCTAACATTTAAACTTTATTATATTTTTTAAATTAATGGCAATGGAAAAATACCCAATTGAGTTTGAGTGAGGTGAGTACAATTTATTTGGTTACTCAAAGGAAAATTAGGATACCCAATTGAGATGAACACAAGTGAGTACATAACTCAATGACCCAAACAGTTATCTGTAGCTCTGTGAAGATGTATGATATAAAGACGTTTCATGTTCCCTAACTTGTTTTGTTCAGTACAGTTGTATATTTCACCAGTTGTATAAATTCAGCCTTTCCTGCATCAGTAACTGGTTCCATGAAGTAGGACAGATCATCATCATCATCATCATCATCATCATCATCATCATCCAACCCCTTGAGGTGTCCATGTCTGAAACATACAGAGACAGGTGTTAGGGATACAGTATGTTGGGTATACAGCAAACAGACGAAGAAAACCAGTTAGCTTATACTTGTTTCTTAGTAGGTAAATTTGTTAATTGCATAAAACTGTTTAATTTTCAATTACACTCTGGAATAAGGTAATTTTTAAAACGTTTTTGCTTCAAGAAGTTTCCTTTAAGTATGCATGTAATTTAAACACACGAACACATACAAACTTTCTGACATCATTTCTTCAAAATTATTTCTGATGTCAAACAAAGGCTGTCAAATATATTGTTATTTCAGATTTTCCCATCAACACTCATCCTGGTATTTCAAATAGACATGAGTCTTACCAAAATGTTGATCGAATTGTACATCCTAAAGACATAAAAGATGGATGTTTGTAAGAAGAAATTTGTACAGTCATACATCATTCATAATGTCAAATGTTATATCGTCAAGGGGCGGTGGGGTAGCCTAGTGGTTAAAGCGTTGGCTCGTCTCGCCAAAGACCCGGGTTCGAATCCCCACATGGGTACAATGTGTGAAGCCCATTTCTGGTGTCCCCCGCCGTGATGTTGCTGGAATATTGCTAAAAGTGGCGTAAAACCAAACTCAGTCAGTCAGTGATACTTAAAGCCAAAACTGTATGGCCATTCATCGTACATAAAGCCAGGAAAGCGGGTTTTTACCGGTATACCGGTATATCGCAATACACTTTTCAAACGATACGTATTGCAACATGTTTTCTGAGAACCGGTATATAAGAACGTATATGAAGATTTTGTGATTATCTTTCTGGTCTAAATTAAATTCTACACAGACTTTCATTGACTGCTCATTCCTTCATTATTCAATGACAAAACAGCATATTGTAATACTATAAATTGTATAAAGAGAAACTAGAATCACTGACAAGGCAACCTGATTTTGAGACTGCTGAACCATAACATACATGTATATGTTCAGGGACTGATAATGTAGAAAATAGGATTGACATGTACAATTAGTGTCACTCATTGTCGAACACTTAAGTTCCCAATATATCGCAATATGTATCACAATACGGGTACCTGAATCGCAGTACAATATATCTGCCAATACACAGCTCTACTCAAAGCCAAATATCGAAACATCATACCTGAGGCGATGGGGTAGCCTTGTGGTTAAAGCATTTGCTCGTCACGCTGAAGGCCCGGGTTCGATTCCCCACATGGATATAATCTTTTAAAGAATTTTTTTATTTTTATACCATTTTTACAGTTGCACATGGGCTCCAACATGCAGTGTAGAGGGCTACCTCTGTAGAGGTTATACAGAGCATGTAGCAATGGCAATACAGAATAAATCAGTCGCTGAACAGGTTGTGACATGCTGACCAGAATTTGTAAAAAAGCGTCGATTCTGGAGCATAACATAGCTGCATATTTGGTTAAATTGTAATACTGAGTAAGCCTTCTCAACATGAACTGAAATGCTGGCATATTTCCGGATATTTTACGATTAAAAATACTTTTGAAATGGATGACGATCACATTAATTGGGTCGTTATGCTTACGACAGAATAAATCCAAAAAGAATTTGTTATCTTGTGAAATTCAAACTTAAATCCAGTTTATCATTTAGCCAATCTTGGAATTTTTGCCATATATGGGTAACCTGGCTACAATCATAAAAGAGGTGGGGCATTGTTTCTATAGAATTTGGGCAATAGCTACATTGGTTACGGTCAATATATTTCATTCTGAAAAGTCTACTATTCGTTGACAAAATATGATGAAGCAGTTTGTACTGAAACCATTGGAGATCTGTATCTTTTGTACAACGGAAGGGAATATGGATATAGTTGTGTGAAGGATCTATACTAACTGCAGTTTCATTTCCTAACATAACGTTCCATTTCATTCAGTGTTGATTACGATTTGTGTTTGTTTCCAATAAAGCCCTGTAATAAACTTCACAACCAGTTTTATGTCTTGTTAGAAGGTTGTATTGGGTTTACTTCTTTGTTGATGTTTTCTAAATTGATTGTTTGCTTTTAAAGAAGGCTTTAACTGCACTAATGACTCCGCAATAATTTAGAAAATTAGTTTTTATATTATATGTGGCTTGGGATTTTTCATGGGATAGAAATTTGCCAGCGTCATTAAGACTGACTGACTGAGTTTTGGTTTTACGTAGCTTTTAGCAATATTCCAGCAACATCACGGCAGGGGACACCAAAAATGGCGTCATTAAGAAGGTCATTTATAAATAGTATACCTTTTTCCCTCCACATGGGTACGTGAAGCCCATTTCTGGTGTCCCCCACCATGATATTGCTGGAATATTGCAAAAACAAGTGTAAAACCATACTCACTCATTTAGTGTAATGTTACCTGCACCAATTGTCTGAAGCCCTCATACAATCCCCACGATCACCACTCCATCCAGTCAAGCAGTGGCACATCCCAAGAAGCTCTCGTACAATCCCCACGGAATGTAGCCCTACATCGGGTCAATAGTCAACTGGAGTCAGTCTCCGAGAATCTCCCAGCCTCTCACATCGAGCCGCTCCGATCAATACATCTCTCTCCGTAGTAAAACCAACAAGCGTACCCATATCTCACAAGCAGTTAAAAGCTCTGCTATTTTAAAACTAATCTGTTTTGGTCCAGGTAAGCAGCGAATCGTGAGGCAAAGCGCGAGCCGAGAAAGTGTACCGGTCTCCTACACTGCCGTAGTACTATATGTTCCACGCCTTGCCTGCCATTCATGTGCAGCGCCCCCTACTGGTAGTCTGCAAGCTAAGCTTTGTCCTGGAACCGTGTTCAGCTAAGTTAAAGTGATACTCGTCTGTTACATACTTGTGTAAATTCCACCTCCCAGACATCTGTCCTACTTCTATAAATACCATCGAGACTTATCAAGATTCTTATTCCGAAACTTTAAATTTTAGAATTTAATATACATGCCTATACAATGTGTGTTGAGATAAGATATTAGTATAATGAATTATATAGGATATCGAAGCTAATCTATTATCTCCGATTAATTTTTGATGGCTTTTGTCTGAATCTTCAAGTGTTTCCAGTTGTGTGGGCATCACCTCCAACATACTGGGTCTCATGTCTGCAAATCGTATACATGAAGTAGATTTATGAAACAATTTCTTAAATATTTCCAAAAACATAACTGACAAACAGGAACAATATTATTTTTTAAAATTTAAAAATATCACAGAATACAAATTAGTGAGAATAATTATAAGAATATGACTTCTAATTTATCATTGCCTTAAACCCACATGGGTACATGTGTGAAGCCCATTTCCGGTGTACCCTGCCGTGATATTGCTAAAAGCGACATGAAACTCAACTCACTCACTCACTCATTGCCATGAATCCTGTATTTGTCTACAGTCACACTAAATCAAAACTTGAGATTTTCAACAGACATCTTTTTTCATTGTTTACAATACTATTCACACTTTGCTAAGGATGGAATCGTTGATTTAACAGAAAACTATGATATGGGGTCAAATTTGGTTTAAATATCTAAGCTTATTGTAAGCATGGATCCTAGGTTTCAGTATGTCATTGCATCTTGTGGATCCCATACCTGCTACTGACAGGTGTTGTGTACTTGTCAATGACTCGTTCCATGATTTGCAAAATGGTTGACTGATGCCATGAAAACAGTTTCTATGGTTACTCATGTATCAAGTGCATCAGGTTAGATTAAAGTGGCTGTTTGCCAAAAGAGGTTACCATATTATTATTTATCCAATTTCAAATTATAAATCTATGTTTAAGTAAAGTATATACACAATTAGTTGTTCCTGCAATAGTACTATCAGCCTACAGCACTTCCGTGTTTCGTGTACATGTTTTATAGTGAAGGCAGTTTATATTTACTGTCTCTGCCTAAAAATACTTCATGATCCATAAGATATTTTGCTCTGTACAAATGATTTTTTTTTCACAGACTGGGCCAGGGGTCTGAATCATCTACAGACGGTCAAATAAACACATCAACAGACGGTGACGATGTAGAAAGTGTTTTCGTCACAATAATTTGTCGAAGAAGTGAAAGCATGGTGCCGGTTATGACAACACTCGCTTCTTGAGACGCATCACAACTGTGAAACAGTATTAACCGAAGCTGGTCACGACCCTGGAGGTCGAGTTATGGCCGATTAGACTTCATTTAGGAATTTTGCAGACATGTGACAAATCATTGTCAAATATGAAAATCATATAATCGTCACCATGTCCAAGATGGTATTCGTCATACGAATGGTGACAAGGATTGGGTGTTATTTTGTTTAGGAATATACCATGCACTAGTCAGAGGGGTAATCTCAACTCAGAAATAACATCAAAAATTCAGTTTTTCTTCGTAGCTCTGTTTAAATATACTTCCCCATCCCCGACCCACATGGCCACCCATTCCATCTCGAAGCTGTGTGATCCGTGAAGGTCCGGGTTAATATATTGATCGGCAGTAACCCATGCTTGCCCTGAGATTTGAAAATCTTTGACCTTTTCAACGTCAGAGGTGTAAAATTTTAATGGCAAAGATTTGAAAGTGCATTTTTTTTAAACTCTCAAAATGGCCGCAGTGAAGCATGAATACCCCACTCAGACACATTATACTGACTCTGAGCTGACCAGTCCTTGTTGTACCCATTAATGCCGAGCGCCAGGCAGGGACCAACAAGTATGACGCGGTCGGGGATCGAACCCGCGACCTTCCGCTCTTGATACAATTAGAGACCGCATGCAGATGGGATATGGTCTCTGGTCCGATGTGTGAAGGCAACTCATCATTCCTCTGCAATTACTCACCAGAATATTGCTAAAAGCATCATAAAACCAAACTCACTCATCTGTAAAGTTAAATGACATAAAACTTCATATAATAAAAAAGTATCAATTATGAATTTCAAGCCACAAAATTAATTCCCGCAGTAGCTGGACTAAAATGGCTGACTGCTGTAAAACAGAATTTCTCCAATAAAGA